TAATCCAAGTAAACAAAGTTAGCATGACTCACCTGATGAGTCATGTAATAATTCCACCAGTCTGAAAGAGCAAGGTAGCCGAGTATACAGGTTTGTATTTAGATATGGATATTATTTTGAATGTGAAATGAAAAGTAAGAGGCCCAGTATGAAGTAAAATTTTGCCAATGAATTAAAATAAAAAGAGCAGTGTAAAGATAAAAAGTACCTTTGGGTGAACTTCAAGTACGGTGTATAATCTATGACAGCTGGAAAGCTGCCATCCAATCCCTCACCCTTCAGACAAAAACTGATAAAACAGAGAAACAATTGTAAGATTATAACAAGAAAATTAAGTGACAGTAACAGTTGAATCTTACCAATGTGAAACTTGATTTTTCTTAATTTTTTGATAATAAGAAAGGCCTAGAGTATTTAACACTGAAATCCTACTCAGCTGAGATACACTGTTTAATATTAAATGGGAGTCACCGAGCATGTTATAGGATAATGAAAACCTCAACAAACAGAAATTCCACATTATCAGGGAATAGATCAGGGCAAGTGGTATAAACCCTAATTTTTAAATATTTGCTTTTATTCTGAAAATACAGATGGATTGCAAGGGAATAACAGGAAAAAGAAAGTTAGCTGAAGGAAGAGAAACAGAAGAGCTATGGATGAGCTTGGAATCCTCAGTATTTAAACTCAATTAAGTGTTTGCAGAGTGCTTATGTAACCAGCCTACTAACTTTAAGTCGAAAATCAGTTCTCAAAAATCACAGAATCATAGAATCATTAAGGTTGGAAGAGACCTCTAAGATCATCAAGTCCAACACCACCATGCCCACTAAACCATGTCCCTAAGCACCTCATCTACCCGTCTTTTAAATACCTCCAGGGATGGTGACTCAACCACTTCCCTGGGCAGCCTGTTCCAATGTTTAACCACTCTTTCAGTAAAGAAATTTTTCCTCACGTCCAATCTAAACCTCCCCTGGTTTAGATTTGGGAACTTGAGGCCATTTCCTCTTGTCCTCTTGTCCTATCGCCAGTTACTTGGGAGAAGAGACCGACACCCACCTCGCTACAGCCTCCTTTCAGGTAGTTGTAGAGAGCGATGAGGTCTCCCCTCAGCCTCCTTTTCTCCAGGCTAAACAACCCCAGCTCCCTCAGCCGCTCCTCATAAGACTTGTTCTCCAGACCCCTCACCAGCTTCGTTGCCCTTCTCTGGACACGCTCCAGCACCTCAATGTCCTTCTTGTAGCGAGGGGCCCAAAACTGAACACAGGATTCGAGGTGCAGCCTCACCAGTGCCGAGTACAGGGGCACGATCACTTCCCTGCTCCTGCTGGCCACACTAGTTCTGATACAGGCCAGGATGCCATTGGCCTTCTTGGCCGCCTGGGCACACTGCCGGCTCATGTTCAGCCGGCTGTTGACCAACACCCCCAGGTCCTTTTCCACCAGGCAGCTTTCCAGCCACTCTTCCCCAAGCCTGTAGCGCTGCATGGGGTTGTTGTGGCCGAAGTGCAGGACCCGGCACTTGGCCTTGCTGAATCTCATACAGTTGGCCTCGGCCCATCGATCCAGCCTGTCCAGGTCCCTCTGCAGAGCCTTCCTACCCTCGAGCAGATCAACACTCCCACCCAACTTGGTGTCGTCTGCAAACTTACTGAGGGTGCACTCGATCCCCTCATCCAGATCATTGATAAAGATACTGAACAAGACCGGCCCCAAAACTGAGCCCTGGGGAACACCACTCGTGACCGGCCGCCAACTGGATTGAACTCCATTTACCACAACTCTCTGGGCCCGGCCGTCCAGCCAGTTTTTGACCCAGCGCAGAGTACACCTGTCTAAGCCGTGAGCCGCCAGCTTCTCTAGGAGAATGCTGTGGGAGACGGTGTCAAAGGCCTTACTGAAGTCCAGGTAGACCACATCCACAGCCTTTCAGAGCCTTTCTCCTTTCAGATACTTTCTGGTGTTGGGCTGCAGGAAGATGAGGAACACTAATGAAACTAACTTTCAGAAAATGTTCTTAAATGGCTGTAGCTTTATAAAGCGCTCATCTACACTGTATTCTTTTTGTACTGGATATAGAAGATAGTATTTGAATCATGTTTAATTATCACAGAAGTGACAAAATTCATTATGCTTCCACAAGGCTCATATTCCTCACTCCTCCTATCTCTGTCATCAAAAAACAGACTCTAGTAAGACACAGCTTTTGCTAACTTAATTGCAGAGTGCCATTTTTGACAACACAGTCACTTAAGTGGTATTTGGGAAGTACATCTGAAGGGGATTTTTTTCCCTAAGAAAAGAAAAGCAAAGAAAACAACAAAAAAACCCTCCTGCAAAATCACAATTATTTTAAGTAGCTACATAATTCCACATTGCTGTGAGGGGGGAAAAAAATATTTAGATTCTGTTCTCACCTGGGTTCCCCCATCTCCACCCTAAAGTCTTATTTACAGCTCCACATAGATTAGCCAGTCAACATTTATGAAAGACTGTTTGAGCTGAAAAAAAATAATCTCAAATGTAACATGCAAAGAATGGCTACAGCTCCTCAGCCATTCAAAACACAATACTATGAATTATATGTGACATAATAAAAATGCTCCTGTAATACTACGTTCCTATTTTGCCCAGAAAATTTTTAGGCTCTTAAAAACTGCATTGACAAAAACTTAAATGTCTCCAATGAGAACCAATCATTACTCTGAATACTATTAACAGATACCTATAAATATGCTTATATTAGAAATCAGAGGACAAAGGAAGAACAAGTGCATTCCTACAACTAAGCTCTCATACCGGTAGTATGTATCACTGAGGCTTATGTGAGACAAACACAGTTAATTGATGAGTATTTATGGGAGGATTTACATACTGCAGACCTACTCTTGCTATACTTCTTATTCATGTATAGCTACAGTCCTTCCAAGTATAGTGCTTATACAGAAGCAGTTTAATTTCATATAGTGTAAAGCTTAAACTAATCTGGTAAGATTTGGATTTGCTGTATGCAAGGCTAGCTCTCTTATTATCTTGCAGCACACTTCTGTTCCCCCAGAACATATGTTGAGGATGCAGTTAAGCCAATCTAATGACTAAATGCTGGCAAAAGAAGCTATCCTGCATTTTCAACTTGTCCCTCCTTGCTTTTTCTTTTTTTTTTTAAACCCCAACCAGACATTCCCTTTCTCCTCCTTACAGTGGTATTGGCACTTATCTGACTCCATGATGAGCTAGTTCAGCCACCAAGACCTGAATTTTTAGGTTTTTTTTCCCCTTTAGCATCCAGTTGCAGTTCCACAGGCAGCTGAACTAAATGCTCACTGCCACCAGAAAGGGAAGATATTACTCAATCCTTCTTATTTCTTCTCTTCTCTAAGCCTTATGGTCCCATCATCTCTGCCACTGATAAGATGCTTCCGTGAACCAAACTAGCTAACAACAAAAGAGCTATCCTGTCTTTTTACTGGGTATGTTTTTTTACTCTTTAACAAGTTAAGTGGGCTCACAGAAGGGTCCAAGAAGCCTCAAAACTGGTATAAGGGTACATAAGCAGGAGTAAATCTCCAAAGGCCTTTTGGCAACAATCACTCACTCAGTGCATCCAGTGAGACTATGTGCTGTTTTCTACCAGTTTATCTCCTAAATTGGTTTATGACAAGCATTAATGCTGCTGCAGGGTAAATATTAACAGCCAGAAGACTGGAGAAAAGCATTATCACTCTCCTTTTCCCTATGCTGTCTTACGAAACGCTACCCCAATGGCTCTGTATCAGGCTAAGTGGGCCCAACCAGGCATATTAACAGGGCCTTGCACCAGCCAGGTTTGATCTTTTCATAGGTACTCTAGTCTTTATACCTTGCTGATGGTTTTTTATATATATATACACACACACCCCCCAAGATGTTTTTTATATTATTTAGGGTGTGCTTGCACCTTCATTACCCCAAAACACAGAATTAATCATATAACAAAGCACACAGAAGTCTAGCTAGAGATTGCAAAGGTAAATTAATATAATCTGATGATACTTTGCAGTTCAGCTGCAGATAATTATAACACAAATTAATACTAAACAGTCATTTGTAGGTTAAGCTTTTAAAATCTAGAAGTGCTAAAGTTAAAGATACCTATACCTTCTACATATGCAGTTACAATACTGTCATTGAGTACGAGGGCATAACCACGTATTTAATCACACAGTTTTCCTTACAGTTTAAAAATAGCTTTAAAAGATTCAATTGTCTGTAAACTTCACTTAATAGGTTTGATATATCTTCTGCAATTATACTTCTGATTGCTTTCAGGATTTTGATACCTGAAAGAAAGACCATGTAATCATGCAGCTATATAAACTATGGCATAACTCTGTTCTTACCTAGAAGAGCCGTTCAAGATCAATCTCTCTCCCTCCCCTTCCTTCCCCCCACCTAAGTTTTGTCTCTCAAACTATCAAGAGAATCTAACTTTTTCCATAATGAATCAATTTATAAGTACTTTTCCTGAGCATTTTGTTATGAACCATGCAAATATAATACCTGAAATCAATTGCATTGAGTCCCAACAGCATACCAGCAAGCATATTTGCTTCTTCACCAAGAACAATTGCTCCATCCTCATAAAATCTCCTTCAATAAAAAAGAAATTAGTTCAGTTAATACCATTTTCTCTCAAATAATAATGTTTTTCATAGTTAACAGAAAACTGAAGAAATCCAGTTTAAATAAAAACAACTCATGTGAAGCCCAGGGGTATTCACGTTTCATTTCAAATACAGCAAACCAATAGACTGCACAGCACAAAACACCACAATCTTAGAGCACATAAAAATTTAGACAAAAGCAAAAAGAATTTACGGTATTAGCCCTAAGAAATAGTGGAACAGCACGGACAAAATGCAAAGAAAATGATGAACATATCTTATTCTTAACTACTGAAAGGAAGAATTTGTGTCACGTACATTAAAAAAATAATTATTCCATCGTATGAAAACAAAAGTTCTCTCTCAACAATTGTACTTGCAGGCTGTTTTACAATTCAACATTCACTCTTCATTCTTAGTAGTTGATTATTTAAAAAAAAATATTTTCACAAATCAGCTATTTTTCAGGTAGCATACTTTTTCTTAAAATACTGCATGCTGGGAAGATGCATGCTGCATCCAGTTATTCTGAGAATTAAAATTTTCAGTATTTGAAGAAGGATTGTTTTCTTAACACCATTTTTTATTGTAAAACACCTATTGGCCAAAGTTTTAAAACTCCATGGTTTGATCTCAAAATACACTTCACATACCCTGGTATATGCAGACTTGTGAAGGCTGCTTGAGAACAGTGACCAATAAAGCAACAATTTTAAAATCTGTATTCCCTCACCACCTCCCCGTTTTCTCCCATTTATTATTATAGCTCTTCCCAGCTACCACAGAAGCTACTTCCAGACAACGTTCCAGGCACAGGGTGGACAAATAGGACCCACCATCGCCATGCGTGGCCTTGTAAAAAGGCATTTGGTCTGTTTAGCAAAGTAGCACACAACTTTAATTTCTGTGTTAAAGGAGTCTTGGCAGCAGCAGAGGCAAAAAGGTCACTAGAATACACCGGAGTGTTACATGTGGAAAGAGGGAAACCAAGAGCTGTTCAGTACCAAAGGCAAGGTTGAAAGGTCACTTACCAGAAACCGAGATGCACAGTCCACCTATACATTCTAGCAACGTATGACTGCAAGAAGGTGCCAGGTTACTGAATGCAACCTATCTTTCAGACAAATACCAGCAACGCTGCCCTACCAAAAGCTCCATCTGTTTTAAGAACTGCATGAAAGCATTGGGATGGCTCAGTGAGAGCTCGAGCTGGCTGCATGGCGAACATCCAGAAAAGACACATTTTGGGGCACAGCTCCAAAGATTGAACTGTGTTATAATATACACTGTCAGAAGTCCCACTTTTGCAGTGTCATTACAGACACTCATTTGCTGTAAGGAAACAAGTTGTCCAAGACCTTGGATGTTCTCAGTGGAAGCAAGAAATCTGGAAGACTTCCTCTGGGAACATAGAGATTATAGTCCTGACACTGAGGCTATGATGTACAGACACAGTTCTCTACCCTCTGACTTCAGGAAGGGCACCAGGAGGCTAAACTGGCCACTGGTTGAGACAGAATACTGAGCTTAGATGGACTTTACAGTCTGATTCAGTACAGTTACTCTTATTTGTGAACTAACAGCTGTTAGTTCCCAGTACAAGCTGATTACAAACCATTTCACTGGCATCTGTAAAGTCACTGCCAGGTACCAATCTGTACTGTGTTCAGTTCATATTGTAAAATGGTGCCTAGGAAGTAATCACACAAAAAAGACAGGGCATACTTGTCACAGTGAGATGCAGATGTTAGTCTGACAGTGGCAATGTTTCTTAAACCAGCTACAGTAATCCAGCCAAAACAACAGTCCCCTTGGAAAATTCCCAAATCTTCTTTCAGTGTTATGCAGTTGACATCTCACAACAGAACAGCCTACTTTAACTTAAGAGTCTGTGCTGACCAATTTGTTAGAAAAATAATTGTGTGCCCATGCTTAATCCAACTCCTTCCCAAGTGTAATATGCAGATCCAGCACTAATAATGTGCTGCTTCATTAATGGACTAGCCCTAAGATCAGGCACCTAAATACAGCAGTAAGGTTTAAAAAGAGCTAGCAGTATGATAGATGAATCTCATATGCTACATATACATGTGTAACATATTATATTTATAGTTTATATAAATAATTATTAAATATACATATAGCACAATGCATAATTTAAAATGCTAAATAAACAGTGCAAAGCATCACCAAAAAAAATCAGGCCACTTAGTAGGTATCTGAAATCCCACACCGGAAAAGAAAGCGTGTCCATTATTGCTAGTGAATTTGAAATCCACACTATCAAGATCTGAAACTGTAACTTTTATTTCCATTAGATATATTTAAAATATTACTTCAAAACTTTGCACTATGTTTGGAATGCAAGAGAGGTTGTTTCCAAAAGCTATACCACTGAAAGTACATTCAAATATATGAAACATTAACACGTTCAAATAAATGAATTTGAAACTGCTAATAAAATAATACCACTGTTATCCACTAGCAAACAAACCGCACTACCAAACAGCGACAAAGAATGTACTACTTAACTACATCGTTTGTGACCCTCCTCTTCCTCCTGAAAGGAACTTTCAGTCTCTTGAAACCCAAGAGACTTTTCAGTGTGAGGCAACATGAGTAAATGTTTTCCAGAAATCTTTGTTTTATGAGCTTCCTGACTACTGTAAATGCAAGCAAATCTGGGTAAAATAAAGACGACAGGCCTGGAAACTTCAATAAAATGGGATGTTTACCTAGTTGTGTTTCAAAGTCACCCTAATATTGGCAAAATATACGGAGATCTGTGGACAAATAGTATTACAAACAGAAATAATATTCTAAATGAACAGAAGTCCTTACGGAGAAAATTGTTATTGTTTAAATAGTCTATTCAGTATGTCTAAAACTTTTAGAGTTCAACATAAGGTACCGCAACATGTTATAGACCCACTCACATTTAGATGACTTCATCATAAATCTACAAGACACACTTGTTACAGGATAAAGCATCATATAATAATCACATTATCTAGAACCAGTCCAAAACTGCCAGAGTATTTTCTATCACAAAGCATATTCTTGTCCATAACAGCTTTCACCATTAGAAGGTACAACAAAAATCTGTTACACATTTTTCATATTACATCAAGAATCTTAGCTATGCCTGATCACTAATTCTGTTTCTCTATATTTCTCAAAAGTTTCCTGGAATTCTCTTCCTTTCTTCTTCAAGAAAAGTTCCTATAAAAATTATTTTTTACTGAGTCTCTAGGGCTTTCTGTGAACCATACCTAATTTTGAAAGGAACATTACATCTTCTGTCTTTATCATGCTACAATTTCAGAATTAGTTCCTTCTTTAGAGAGGTTTTATTGTCTTTTGACCTTTCAATAATTCCAGACTCATTTCCACATTTTTAAAATCACAAAGAGATTTTCAATTGTGCAGTTTTACACATGCTAAAATCCAGTCAATTGATACCAACTCCAGATATCTTTTACTAGGTTATAGCTCTTTTACTGGTGACATCCTTTCCTATACAAATCAAGTGGAACATTCACTTTCAAACCTAAGTCCCTCACTTAAGCAAGTCCCTCACTTAAGCAACATTTGCTAAAATATTGCAAAAATGTAAGTCTTAGAGACCTGGTTGTTTTGAAGTCTCTCAGAGCTGTGGAAATATATTCAGACAAATGCTTTTCCATAAGTGCTACTCTGATCCAGGCTCGACCCTGCAAGAAGAAACAGATATCAAATATTTAAGTACTATAGAATGAAACACTTAATTTTACATCTGAAAATGAATACAGTTGATTTACCTGGCTGAAATGAACTGATTAACAAAATTACCACTAAACAGAAATTGTTGCTAAGATGTACTTCAGTATAGTAATAATGAAAATAGAAAATGCATTCTTACAAATAAACTTTATTTTGAAATAAAGTTCTCCAAAATTTTAGGGGGGGGACGGGAGAAGGATTTTGCTTCAATTGTATACTCCAGCCTTTCGAAAATCTCATGTGCATAAGTGGTAGCAGATCAGGGCAGAAAGCTTTTCATTTTAAAGACGATGGTATTGGAAGCATCCAATCCATTCCACTGTGAAGCAGCAGTAACCTACCCTCAAGGTGATTTAAGTAAGAACTAATTCTCTGCATTCATTCAAATATTTGTGGGATCAATAAAAAAAAAATTATAACTCAGTGACATATCTTTATTATGTAATTTGCATAAATTATTTTCCCCCTCGATAAGGACATCATTACAGAAGGTGCACATAATATACAGGAATGAAATAAAATCTAAGAGGCCTAAAACTTGTAGTCCAAAAGCAAAACTTCATTCAAACAGTTCTATAAACAAAAGCAATAGCTTCAAAAATAACCTTTAGGAATGTATATTGCACTATGTTTACAGGTCTAGTGCACAGGATTGTAGTTTACAAGAAAGAGACATTTCAAATGGCTGCCATAGTTATGACTGTCATTTTGAGAACACCAGGAATATTTCTTGCAACCCATATAAACTTACAAATGGTTATATAAGTAGTAAGATGTCTTTCTGCTTAATATATTTGGTGCTTATTGACATCTAGCTGAATATCACTACAGACTTTCTACCAAAACCACCTGCAGTAGATTATAATCCTACTTTTAATTTATATAGACTTAGATCAAACTAAACCTATAATAAAATAGGCAGATGCTAAATAACAAAAAAATTTGCTTTCATAAATACCAACAACACAGCAAAAACCTTAACATAGTGTGCACTAAGATTAAAAGGAGGTTTATCTGGATAGCTGTCTTTATGTTGCAGTTATTTAGAACATGCGTGAAACAGTCAAACCCTGATGATGCAGCTTAGCTAATGACTAAAGCCTATGCAGCTCCAGCGAAAGCAGGGCTAACTAGCACTGGCAAACCCTTACTAACAGCTTCCAGGCTGAAGCAGACACTCGTTTGGACCACCGGTAAAACTCACGCATGCCATTGGTATTGTGTCGACATGCCTCCAATCTTTTCAGACACAGACATCCCAAATACTCCCACGCGCACCTTTAAAAATTCAACACCGCTCTCCACACTTGCTGCACAAATTAGCTGCTTTGTTTACTATTTGGCATGGAGTTTTCCACAGAGTAAAAGAAAATTTTAATTTATTTATAAGAGTATTTCAGAAAATAGCTTTGCATCTTATTATCTACTGAATTTAAATATTCATATCTATTAAAATATTGGAATTCAGAAATACCTTTAAAATAAATCTCGAATATACAATCATCACATCCTAGAAAATGAGTCTCTCCAGAAAGTATTTTGAAATAAGTTCTCCAAATTATCTGAATTTCCAGATCTCAATATAAGCAAGAAGAAAAGCTGCATGACTTACATTATCAGTCTACTACTCCAGTACATTGAGTGCTAGGAAAAGCATGTAATATTCTGGATAGGAAAACCAGTCAACAGCTTTTTGCCATAGAATCTCAAGCATTTTAAAGCTTCCACACAAACTACAGATATGTTTACTATATAAAATTTAAAACTGAGTCTATATAAAAGAAGAAAGGAGCCACAGTAGACATAGCAAATAAGCTGTTCTGCAATACTATGGATCATCAGAATGGCTGCTCAAAGATCTACTAGATTCATGGTGCTGCTTGATCTAAGCATTATCTTTTATTGAAGAAAATTGTGGTTGCATAAATACCTGTAATTTAAATTGTATAAACCACCATCATGCCCCTGAAAAAAACCTAGAAAGTTTTTGTATATAACAAGCTAAATATTTCCACCTCACCAATGACACCAACTGTGAATAATCCAGAGCATAATAAAAATCTGGAACTACAGGATTTTTAAAATAGCCATGGAACACACTTTGCATACTTGTTCAAACAACTGATTCCAGTTCATTTAAGAATAAAAAGTATTAAGAACATTAATTTGTGCATTCTTTCATACTACTTGTACTTTCAAGTCAGAAGGTTCTCAGTTATCAATCAAGGCTGCTTTACACAGAAATACAAGCTATTGAAAAGCATTCCAATCTAGTAAAAAGAACTTGTAATCTCTGTCCAACAGTATTTTTTTAAGGTGTTGGTCTACATTGTCTCACACTATTAAGATTTAACAATAGGTCAGTTTAAAGCTTATTCTTATTCAGTTCATATGCATATAAACACATTAAATTGTTACTTCCTTAATGTTTCCATCATACCTACAATCAGGAATTGTGATGTAATTTCTATACAGATCCTTTAAAATGATGGATCTTTATTAGCAAATAAATCTATTAAAGGCTTCCTGCACAATCATACCAACAAACTCAAGAGTTGATCACACCTTTTCTATTAGTGCATAAATTATATACAAAATAAAATGATACTTAGGTGGGGGGGGGAATCAAATTTCTACAATTTTAAAATAATATTTGTTAGGCATGCCCGCATGAACTTAATTTCCCTCAACATACTGCATTTTCAAAAAATTATGTAAGTTCAAAAATGTGAAGGCAATCATTTTATAATACAATGTGCTCACTGAATAGAGAATTTGAGATTTATTCTACTGAATAACATAAATTTGAAAGGAAACACATTCAGATTTAAAAGCGTTTGGTTTTTTTTTAAGTAAATATTTACTAGGTACATATAAAAAATAATTATTTCAAACAATGAAAAATTTTGTGGGGCAAGCTTAGTAATATGTTTTTCTTCTGGGTACAGAAATGTCAGCTGTATTTTACACAGAACAACGTAATAAAAAAGTCAGTTTGACCTTTCTCTTCCCTACCTTAGCTCTAGAAGAACCGACATTCTCCATGTTCTCAATACTGCAGATGCAATTGTGAGAGACTTTTCGGCAAGCTACTCGAATGTAGTCCCAGAAACTACGAGGACTTTCATAGCCGAACCAGGTGATCTGACCTTAAATCAAAATACAAGATACGTAAAGATTTATGAACCTCCCTCTCTGCGTATTGGAGATAAACATAATTAAAACACTTCCCTGTAAGTTGCCTGCACTGACAGGATTTTATACTAGGAAGTCCATAAATTCCTACTGAAAACTGGCTCACAGGTGTAAAAAAACTTGCATCATGCAGCTCACCCTGGTTTGAAACTGATGCACAAAGAGAAGTTTGGGGCTTTTGTGTACATGTGTGTATTTTGTTGTTTTTTTCCTTGTTAGTATGCTATAATAATACTCGAGTTCTTCATGGGACTCTTAAATCACAATAGAGCACACACTGTTGTGACTTCAAAATATGATGCAAGAAGTATTTCTGTTTTTTCTTTTAGGTAGCACCACGTGTTTCACTAATACAGTCAAGTAAAGAAAGTTTTGTTCTTTAAAAAAAATAATTTTTTAATATATATATACACACACACACAAAAAAAAAGACCACTGTTTGCTGTGGTAGCGTTAGCTTTATTTTAGGAGCAGATTGGAATTTTTCAAAATGTGCTTCCATTGAAGGAGAAATTGATGCATGATCAAAAAAGTTTTGTGGTCACAATTTATTTTGAATACACACAGAACATTCCTTGGGAAGCTGACCAAAATGAATTGAGCAAATCAATGTCTCTTCTGGAGCTTTAATCAAAATCCTTCATATTAGTTTCTAGCTTGGAATGTATTGCAACTAGAAAGCGAAAGGCAAAATTACATACTACTTGCAACGGCTCCACATGGTTGCATAAATTTCATTACAGACATAACAGTTCAGCCCCATTTTTCAGACTGAACAGCATACAACTGCGAACAGTATGTAAAAAGTAAGATGAACATTGCCTTCTGGTGACTGCCGTTATTACATATGTGCAAGACCCTTTCTCCATATAAAATGAGATCTTATTGTTAAGCTAATTTTATTTTATTTCAAGTCTTGAGTTGTACTTCTGAAGCTTTACTAATTTATCAGAAAGACTTCTAATTCTTTTGCTGTTAGAAAGCTCAGATTTCAAGAAAGAATATTAGACTGATACTGCAAATGATACATACTGAAAATAAAATGCCAAAATATGATGACAAGGATATTTTTATCTAGCATGACTTATCTTAGCTCCAAGCATAGCCATAGTAGTGTCAAGGATCTGTCCCCTATGATCTTAAATTCAAGTGGTGGGTTTTTTTCCCTAGAGGGTGCATGTAACTTGACTTTGTGGCCCATCTGCTTACTTTGCGATGGATTTATTTATTAAAATTCAAAGCTTGATAAAAGACTTATAAAAGAAAAAGCAGTAAGAATTAATATATACTACTCAATATGCCAAAGGAAAAACAAAATCCCAAGGTGCTTCAGTTACTGTAGACTCAGATCTTCTCAGCTCTAAGGACTAAAATAAAAGAATTTCCATGAGGTAAGCGCTCTTACGAATTTACAGTTTTTGTTGAAATGATGAGTGTAGTGGAGAGCAACAAGATTTCAACAGCATTTCAACACCATGAAAAGCTACAGATATTTTTCATATTCTTTACCACATCACAAACATTTCTGCCCTGGGGATTATACCTGCAAAATTAAATGCAACTTAAGTGTGAAGTGTGAAGATGATTTTCTGTCACCAATTCCAATGCCTAATAAAGGCAAGTATATCATACAATAACTTTTGTGGCTTTTTCAAACTACCTTAAGGACGGAATATATTCTGCAAAAAACAAACAGTTTCACTCTAGTTTTCTGAAGTCACTAATTCAAAGCAATTCCTTTTACCAATGAACACATGAAAAACACATGTCATTTAAAAACAAAAATACCTTTATAACAGAAGTACATACCCGCAACACAGCACTTATTTGGCTCACACTGATCAACAAAGCAAGCTGGCCATAATTACAATATGCTCTGACATAACAGTGGGCTCTCATCTCACAGCCAGCTCTGCGAGAGGGTATGATGATGGGTTTCAGACTTCAGTAGGAATTGTCTTCACTTGAAACTCACAGCCAGCTCAGGACCTTTTGTGAATCAAGGACTTCTGTATTTCACTATTTTCGCCCTACAACTTTAAACCTTGCCCACATTCTAGTAATTAACATCATCTGAAGAAAAACTTCCTTAATCATTCCATACACAGAAAAATGTCGGAAAAGACTGTCTGAGAATAGTGAGAATGTATTTTAAAAACTACTAAATGAAATATTAAGCTGTATATTCCCTACAATTTTAAAAGCTTTCAGTGTATGAAATTCTATTTGGCACTCAATGTACACAACCATGAGAACTCTCAAGAATGAGGAATGAAATAGCTCCCACTACCCAGCGCTTCTCAGGCTGTGCCTGGAGTCCTGTGTCCAGTTCTGGTCCCCACGCAAGGAGGACATGGACAGATTGGAGAGGGTCCAAAGGAGGGCCACGAAGATGATCAAAGGGCTGGAGAACCTGCCCCAGGAGGAAAGACTGAAGGCATTAGGTCTTTTCTCCCTAGGGAAGAGAAGGCTTAGAGGGGAACTCATCATAGTATTCCAGTACTTAAAGGGTGGCTACAAAGAGTACAGAGGCTCTCTCTTTACAAGAAGCCACATGGAGAAGACAAAGGGCAATGGGTACAAGTTGCACTGGGAGAGGTTTCATCTCAACATAAGAAAGAATTTTTTTACACTAAGAACAATCATTTACTGGAACAACCTCCCCAGGGATGTGGTAGAGTCCCCATCACTGGAGTTTTTCAAGATGCGACTGGACAGGATGCTAGATAATCTCATCTAGGCTCCCTTTCCCACTAATGGTTGGGCCAGATGATCTTTTGAGGTACCTTCCAACCTGGCTGTTCTATGATTCTAAAATAATATCTAAATTTTAAAGGGTCCTAATAAATTTGAAAGCTAATTTTAGTATACAACTTACATTCTGTCAAAGTACTTCTTAAGGAAAGAGTAAGTTTCCTGGGAGGTCCAAAGGACAAAGAGTATGTTATCTTTGCCATGAAGTTTATATGTCATCAGAAGACACAGAAGCTGACAGCTATTCCAACAGGAATGATGTTATTGTTTTTGTCAGCCAAACAAAATTGTTAGGTAAGCATGGAAGCTGTAGCTTTAATATTGTTCAAATTAATTCAATTCCTTCTCTCCAGAACTGCAAAGCAAATAGAAACAATATTGTGAAAATTTTTTATTTCACCACATTTTTGAATACTGCTACACACCTATTTGTATCAACCCATTTCTGCTCCCATCTGACAACTAGGTACAAACATCCACAACATTAGTTGTTGCAGATCTTTTTTCACACCCAAGAAATTCTTCATAAATAAGACATTAAACAATTTGATTCCTACTCAATCACAGTCCAATTTCATATCTACAAAGGTCCACAACTGCAAAGTAGTAACGACTAGGATGCCCTAAGGTACAGGCAGGTTTTCTCCAGACTTGCCTGTATTATTTAGTTCACAACAAATTTTTCTATACTGCAAAAAATAAGTTTTAATACAACTTGTTGGTGATAAACTGGCATGCTATTCCTTTGAGGAATTTCTATGATACCTACTCTTTTACTTTGGGTCTACAGAATGGGTCATTAAAAATTTACAGTAGTTCATAAACCCAGTCCTCCAAGACAATTATAAATTCATTTAAGATTTTCCTCCATACAAGAGAAAGGAGGATGAGCTAAACCGCAAGTTACACAAGAGCCCTACTATTTCTTTTTAGCCAAAAACAGTAATAGGGTCACTATGTGTGTATAAATATTAAATCTAGTAACAAAAGCTATTTTGCTAATAGCATTATTGCACCAAAGAAAGGGACACTGCAGCTATATGCTTAGACTTTGTCTTTTTCATGACAGTAGTGCCTTCAGCTCTTATTTCCTTAACTTATCTTTTTCACTCCCATTATCTCCATTACCTTAACTATTTTAGCCAGAAGATTTATTTCTCTCAGGATGAGCAGCATTACAAGCTGCATCTTACTCACTCAGAGAACCCTGCTTCCTCACCTGTGACCTAGACCTACAAGCACAAATTGTCTTCTGCAGACATAATTCATACCCTTTCCCTTGTAACCACTGTTTATGCCTGAATTATGAGAATTCAGGGAATTTTGATTAATAAAAATTACATTAATATTCATTGCTTAAAAAGAAAGAGACTCCATGAAATAGCAGGTAGTAGTGCTTTTTTTTCCCTCCTAAAAATAAATAAGTAAAATAAAAACCATATGGGAAGGGATAAATTATGCACTGCAGATATAAGAAAAGTCTTTCACTGCTTACTATGAAGAAGTGCAAAAACTGAACAACATTTACCAATGACATCACTAGTAGAGCTATTTACCATTACTACCACCAGACTATTGATGATGCACAAAACTAGAACATTTTCTCGAATGAGGAAAGGAAGAGAAATTATTACATTTATCTTTCCACTCAAGCAGCACTGATCACCCTAGAAGCTTACTACTCATAGTAAGTTTTCTAAAAGAAAAAAGAAAAGCAAGCAAACGAACTCCGCAGTCACTAAAAATTAGGAATAACATAGATCAGATAAAGACAAGCAGCTTCCATGGGCAACTCTAGCAGAAGCTTTTGATGTGTTAATAATACTTTCTAAATGTACATACAGGAAAAAAGGCACACAAGGTTGTAAAAGTGTCAAAATAGCACAGTATAGCATACTGTTTTGTGTCATTATGGTGGTAAATGCAAATAAGTGTATAGATGACAAGTACGCTCACAGTAACCATGACATACAAAAATTACAGGAGTCACAAGCAAGATGCACTACATTCGTTGTCAGTGACAGAACTTAATTTTATACACCAAAACTATTTCTAAACATGCATACTGGCTAGCAGTTTTGATATAAACACATTTTGCTGTAAAGGATATTACAAGGAAAACATAGGAAGTCAGCAAATACATGCACATGACAATAGTTTTCAGAAATATGCTTGAGACGATGGCCATAAAAATCTACAATAGTTATTAGTGTTCTTCAGTACTAACTCAGTTAAAACTAATCTAAAGTGATAGAAAAAGGCAGAAAACCATACAACACTGTGATATAGTAAAGACAATATATACATCACTTTGAATTTACTTCAGGTTTTAAATCAGCTAGGATATACCTGTGATCAAATCCCAAGAACTGTTGCTGAACACTTTTTGATGCCCCTACCATTTCTGCACTAACTATATTTACTTAGTTGATCTGATAAAAAGGACACTTAAAGGAAATACACCTGAAAAATCTGTGGCCAGCAGTGAAAACAGGAAACCACCAAGGCAACTACAAGATACGGCTTAATCTCCACAGTACAGAACAGTTAAGAAAGGAACAAATTCCAAACAACTATCTGGGGAAAAAAATGGCTCCTGAAATTACCCAGCTTGCTGTAAAGATTATCAAACACACATACATTTGTATACAAATTTGTAAAATCCCTTTCAGGACTATAGGTCTTATTTGGTCCAGAGACCTTCAAATACATTGTCTCCGTATCCACTCAGGATACACTTACTCTCTGTTGTATTATAAAACCATGCAAATTCTTATTCCTGAGAAGGAATAAAAGAGTAATTAGTCACTCATTTTTTGCTGTTACTCCGTCTCTCCTACCTTTTCAAGATCTTCAATTGTCCCATCCAGTAGTATCATATCTTGCCAGCAGGCATGCCACACAGCTTATTTTAGTGACAGGAAGAACACATGCTTTATATCCTCCTCATTACGATATTTGGTCTACTCTGCATTCACTATAAATCCAGCACTTCTAGGGAGTACCAGGTATATTACACACAAGTATTACACAGTACAGGGTAAGTATCTCTCCACTTTCTAGAGCAGAAGGCAGTCAACAGCAATCCCTGAAAAGACAGTTAATACAGCTTACTCAAACTCTCTCTCTCTTCCTTAGGGCAATTCAAAAACAGGCTGTGAGCCAGACTGCTTTTTCTAACAACAGCGGCCTATTCCTGACTGCTACTTACTGGCATTGGTGTACCTGTAACTGTCACCTTTTGGCCACGGCATATTATATTACCTTTTTTGGAACTATTTTGGTGCCATATGTCCTAAGTCATCTGTATCACATGAACAGATACCTGCATTCAAGCAGCATTCACAGATCTCTATTGTGTGAGCTGATATATTTATGTCAATCTCATTTTATTACTAAGCAAACACCTACATCTAAACCACTCTTAAGAAAATGAGCAGCTGGGTTAAAGAAGTGCATCCATGGGGAAAGTCGTTAGTTTTCTGCCTGTTTGACTTCCTGGTCTGGCTCACCACAGGATCCGGTGAGGACCATGGCCAATATCAGGGAAAGGTAAGCACAAAGTGAGAGGGGAAATCTGTAGCAAACTGCACAGAGTTTAAGAAATGTCATGGAGCTTTTCAACACTCAACTGGAAAATGCCGTGAGCAATCTGAGACAGCCCTGCTTGGAGCAAGAGGTCGGACTGGATGACTTTCTAAGGTACTTTCCAAACTAAATTCTTCAATGATTCTGAAAAGAAAAAAACAAACCAACAAAACCACCCAAACCACTACGAATGTTGTTTCATGACTCTTTTGCTAGTCAGAGCTGGCAACATCAGATCAGTTACCTATCAAAAAATCAATTTAAAAATGGTGCTCATATTGCTATAACTGGCATTTTTAGCAGAACAGCCAGGAGGATAAGGATTGGAGAACTATTATTTCAGAATTCTTAATTGCAACAGTTTCAGGAAAAGCATAAAATTCTAATCCCTGGAACTGAACATTTTTTCCCCTTAAAATGGCTATCCTTCTTCCTTCCATTTTGTTTTGTCTGGATCCTATCTGAACACGAAACCAACAAGCAGCAACAGTCACAATATTCTGTCAAGACTATGCTTTGCTCATTAAAAACATATTATATTTAGTGTCAGAAAAGACAGTTGCCAGTAAAAGTATTCTAATAAAAGTAAACTTAGTCCTTTACAATGCAAATTAAATGGGGTTTTTTGGGTCTGTTTGTTGGTTTTTTTTTAATTCTTCCTTCCTCACCCAGTACTTCTGAAGGAAGTTAAAGATTAGGAATTGTTATTTGCCATGGCCTTCTGAAAGTAAAGGTCTATATACTCAAACTCTCAAATCTGGATCATCTGTTTAACTACACTGACAGCAGATTATCCTGACAACAATTTGATACAATGAAGCCATTTATCTTACCATAGACAAACAGGTCATGCTATGTTCTGCCTGCTTTAAAACATTTTACACAACCCACTGCAATCACCGCTCCTACTGACACCAAGTATGCATTCAGAATATGTTAGTTGTTTCCATCAATAAAATGCAATTTCTTTCAAGCCCTGTGTTGTATAATATACACCATCTTAAAACCTGAATTGTCATGGTACATTTATTGTCTCAATTTCCCTTTCAAGTTTTAAAAGAATAAAATAATTACTCGCAGTGATCTAGCTTGTTACCAAAATATTCCCCTGTTTGCAATACAATGCTTAAGTTGCTGTCTTTTTCCATATTTTTACCTAACTCTGAAAACTTCGAAAATCATACTGGTAATTACAAGGGGAAGACTGAAACAACAATTTAGCTTTTTGATTTTCTCTATTTCTTATTTGAAATAATTTTTTACTTGCAAATTCTATTTGCCTGTAACCCATTTGCCAGCTTGTCAAGGCAGCTTCTCTGTACTGCCTGTCCTGAATAATAGACTGTGAAGCAAAAGAATGTTGGGGGGGGGAAATCATAATGATTTTTGCTCAAACATCACTGAAGCTGGGGGAAAAGGAGAAAACAGAGCAATTTCCCTGCAGCGTCAAGTTGCTAAGTACCCATAATCACTCCAATAATCTTTGTCACAATGTGACAAACACTATGTTCCTACCCCACTGTGTGATTTTTTTTTTCCTTCTCTGACAGAATGACAGCAGGTAGTAATTGTGCTACTCAAATGTCAGCCTACACACAATATTGTTCACAAAGCCTAGTTATGAATATTAAAAAGCAAAAGTATGAAAAGGAGTAGATTGTCATATTACACATCTATATTTAGATGATTATGATGTCCTTCATAATCCTCAAATAATTTCAGAAACTGTACACAGAACTGAGAAATGAGGAGAAGCTTCCAAAGTCCTTTTCTAGCAACTGTTACTGCTAAGGTGCGTTCTGTTCTTCTAGTAAAGCAGCTTCCTCTAGAACAATCAGAAAACACAAACAGACATTTTCTTGAATTAGAACAACACCTGACTCCGATACAAGAGGAGAATCAACAACTGACCTTTCTCAAAAGCAATTTAATCCACATCCATTACATTCCAGTAGCAAAAACCAGCTTCACTAGGGGGGTGGAGGGATGGGAATGAAAGGACCTAAACACAGCATCTGGAAAAGAAGGCAACAAAAGCAGGGAAGGGAGAAAGAAAAGGGAGCAGCACCACAGATATGCTCTCTATAGCTTCTGTTAAAGCAGAAAACACTACAATTGTCTTTCAGACTCAGACTCTTAGGACACAGCCTTATCATAAGGCAGAAAAGCAGACAGAGCTCAGCACCATGGCAACATCCACTTGCTTAATTACCAGCCGAGGCGGCTTCCAACAAGAACACTGGAAACATGTTTCACAAAAAAACGTTTCCTTGACTTTTCCACAGTAATGCAAACAATCAGGAAGGCAACAGCAAAGGGACAGACACACAAAGAAAGCCAACATTTTCATTCAGCATCAAGCAGATGTACACTGGTTTCGTACAAATAAATTCTCATGGCAAAAACATCACCAGTAAGGAAGTTAATTAACATACCTTTCAGTCGATGACTTAGAATCTGTTCCAGAATGGCTGCAAAATTATTAAATTCAGGGGAAGTATCATCTATAGTCTCAAAACAGGAACGGTCGATCAGAGTCTTGACTGAAAACCTGGAGCAAAAGTACAAGACAATCATAAATTATATGGATAGCTATTGGTCCTCTATAGCAGGAAAGTAGTTTGTATAAACCAAACAAGCAAAGAACCAGAAAACCACCTTGATGATTTCAAGTTCAGTCAGAGCAACACAAACACATACCATATCAAGAAATAGTCTGGAAATACAATCATCATTGTTGGTCTTAGGCATAAAGCCTTAAAAACAAAAAGAAAACAAAAATCCCTACACTTTCTATGTAGAAGTGAGCTAATCATTTTCTAATTATTTTCCTCTTCTCTAAATTAATTTAATAAAGCTGTAGAAAAACAAGCACTCAAAAGCATCCAGCATCAATTTCTCTTTGTAATCTTAAACACCATGATTTTCGCTTGACATTTCACTCAGTGCTCCTTTTATTCCCCAAATCCATGCCCAAGAATCAGAAGAATAAACTTTATCCTATTATAAGAACACTGCAATTTCATCCTAATGCAAGAATAATCCAAACATATTATAAAACAATGAATTTTTATGCACTGTTAACTCTGTGCATTAACTTGGACAGGCTGATTTCCCTGTGAATGGGGGTAATCCCTATTCAGCATCATATTACTTCATTATTATGCCAGAAAAGCTATCAATTTAAATGATCTAACATTTGAAATTGGAAAAGCTGGATCAAGCCACTGTAAAAAGCAGACAAGATGTAACTAGTCAATTAGCCAATGTTAGCTGTGTTTAGTTACACCTGCGCTTACACAATTTCATTCTTATTCAGAAGATAGTTTAAACCTCAAGAAACATGACAAAAATTGTTTTTTCTCCTGCCTTCTCCATTTTAATTCTAATCCGTTTTTATTTTCCTTTCTACTCCTTGTTCTTCAGTTTTCAGTTTCAGGGCAAGTTTCATATGTCCTCAACTTCGAAAGTAACATTTATTCTGAGGCATTTATTGTGTTTTTTGCAACAATCCTTATTTGTATTAATGGAGCCATACTAAAGCCTGAGGCGATAGTTTTCACACCACCCAAACTTCAACAGTACCAGCCTGGGAAGTTCTCGCTCTGCCTGCTCATCCCAGACCCTATACCTGGGCACACTGCTCCCTCAGTTGTGCCAGTTCTACTCTTTATGGGGCTCACTATGAACTGATCTAGATTTTTAGTACTTGAGAGAAGGAAGGGTGGAGTGAATCTTAAATATGGATACATTCATAATACATACGCTTCACAGCATCTCAACACAAACAGTTCTATGGCACAGCTGCAGAAGCGGCATGCTATATAGGCATGGGCAGGAATGAGACTCCTTAAACCAGCAGTACTATTTTCAAATGCTCTGTACTGTAAAAGTAACTTAACTGCATCCTTAGTGGAGTCAGCACAGCCTCTGATGCTTATTTACTAAACAAAAATAATTATGCTCAAATTGAACTGACATACATATTTCAAGAGTTTCAACTCAATTGTGTTATACTAAGTAAACTTCTGAATAAAGATTCCCCACCCTACCTTTCCTGCAGGCTTCTATTGTTGTAGTGTTTTTGGCAGGACAGGAATTAGGAGCGCGAAGGGTGGGGGAGGAAGCTGCTTCTGCAGTGCCAAGTTATGACTCAGTTTTGAACTCCTCCACATTTTTAACTAGTTTTGAGTAAGTGAGAGACATGCATGCCCACCAGTAAATTTCTACCTAGTCAGTATCATTGCTGTTGACTACGCTAATGGCAGTAATGATTCTTTCCTCAAAGCTATACAAGAGCTGTGAAATTATCTATAAAATTTCTTAATTTTGAAAAACAAATGCATATAGCAATGCCATGACCAAGTTGGTATTAACTGTAACAAGACGACTCCTCCCACACTGTGCAGATCTGAAAATGAGAAGGTGCAGCATATCACTCACAGGTACATACACAACAGAGACAGTGAGTTAGCAGTGTAATGTACTGGACTATATATAGGAATATCATCTTAAAACTCAGACACATGATCACAGCACTATCATCCATAAACTGCAAAACAAAGTAGTGTATAATACGTAGCTGTGCCTATTTCTCATGTATTCAGTGTCCTGCTTAAAAGTTCACTGGTTAATATTGTATGGGATACATACCCAGAAATGGAGATATATTCAAGAAAAAACACGTAAGAGTAATTCACGTACACTTCTAAAAATCACAGATAAGTAACTGATAAGTAACTTCTTTTTTTTTTAAATTTTAAAGCATTCTGCAATTCAATTGAAGAAAAAACATGATATCTAGTTTTTAAGGATACTACAGAGGCAAACATATCTCTAAGTGTAAGTTAAAAGTCACAAACACATTTTGTATGATATTCACACTTCACCATGCTTACCATGCAGATTAGAAAAAGGATTTAAGGTATGTAGAAGTGATGCCTTTGAAAAAAGGTTACACTGTAAGCATTGGTTAAACAATTTTACTCAGTCATGAAAGATGCCTCATATGTTGTTTCCAGTGTACAGCCCCCCAGCAAAGAAAGCTCATGCTCTTGCACAAGTTATGTGGAACCACTTGGGGACTGAAAGTCAAGGAAGAAAAGGTCAGGTCTAAAGTACACAAGAGCTATGAAGAAAAAATGTCCAAGCAGGTAGAGTTAGAGCAGCTTTCTTGTTTCCCTTTGTTGCTCTCAACTTCATCTTCTCTCCATTGGGCTACTACAGCAGCACCGCACTCTAGAGCAAGAGTCTACCTACACTTCAGAGGTTAACAGAGAAATTGTAACAAAAGGGCATGAGAAAGTAAAGTGGCTTGAAAACAAACTTAAAATTTTCGAAGATGAACTTTTTGGTGGACTGTAGGAGCAGACGAGTAATACAGCTCCAATACCCGTTGCTTCAAGACTCTTTAAAAAAAAGTCTTTTATCCAATCATTTCCCATTGTGTCACTGCAACAATAGGGTTGTTTTGTTGTGGGTTTGGTTGGGGTTTTTTTGGTACGGTAACTGCCATTGGAGAGATTCCAATATCAGTGTTTCTAAATGACCTTTGTGAACTCTGATGTTTTCAGATTCTTACATATTCTTCTCTGTCACAAATCTAGTCTTGCTTGAGCCAAAAAAAAGATGTAGAAACACTAGCATTCTCCAACCTTAAAAAGACATTCTGAATTATGTAAGAGGGAAACATTCTTGAATAAGAAAGATTTATAGCAATCTTTTTGGGGTAGGTTCTTCCACTGTTTTGCAAGATGCACAAGAAGGTCTCCCAAATTTTTTTACTATCTCCAAACCAAAGCCAAACCTTTTGTGGATATATCCCAGGTCTATAGGCTTATTTCCAAAACAGTAACAAGCCTCTAATCAAAAACCAAATAGGCAGAAAATTTGACTGCTATATGAATTTGTCACTTTTCACTGTCAGATTCTGCTCCTCTCAGTTTTCAAATGAATGGAAGGATTCTGTCAAATTTATTTAGCTTGCAATTTGGGAGATGTCACTAAAACACCAATTTAAAGAACGTAAACTATTAATATAGAATAATCCCCAAGATTATGAACTAATATCCCTTATGCTGGAGAACATGGCTTGGACATGAAACCAGAGAGTTCAGCTAAGGGTGACTGCAACAGCTGTTCTGCATATTAGCAAAATCACTATTTTAAAAATACATTTCCTGACAGTTGTTCAATTCTGTGTTAATATTCTGTGTTTAAGCTATGACCCTCACTTCCAAGGCCTGTCTCTATTTTTTTGGTGGTTCTGTATCTATATGGATCTTTGATCTATAAATCTTAGGGAAGACTAGATGAAAACAAAACCAAACAAAGAACAACCTCAAAATCCCAGCACCACTTATTGGTAAACAGAAGGCATCAAACTTCAAGGAAAAAAGGTAGGGAGAGAGACAGAGCTTTGAACACATATTACTTATTCAAACAAAAAAATGCTAAAAATTATTGCAATTTAAATCAACATTGTGCAGCTACACAAACATAACTAACTATTTTCACATGCAGCTGGTTTATGGAACTTAAGTAACTACATTACTTCCACTGGCTACATTGCCACTCAACGTTTTAGTGGAAACAAACTGTTCTTTCCAAAGCTGTAAATACAAGAAACTATCCACATCTGCATGAGGAGTTAGATATCATTACTGTAAGAAAAGACTAAAAACCCAAAGTCTGGTTTAACTATTAAGTAAAAATCTGCTACATTGAGGCTTTGACAAAAATAGTTCATTAAATCGTCAGAGACTGTTAACAGATGGTAATTCAGAAGAATATCTTCCTTGTGATCTCTCACGTTCATATATCAACCAAATTTAATTGAATAAATTCATTGGAGCTATTTTTACCAGAAATATTTCATGTTCTCACAGGATTTTGATTGAAAAGGACTATTATCTTACTGGTTTTGATACTAATTTGGCTATTCCTAACAAATAACACTTTTCAATATTAGGCAATGTGTAATAACTACAGTAAAGCTCAGAAATATTTTAAACATTTACTCTTACACTGGCAGAACAATAAAAATATAAATAAATGTATGCACATCATAATAACACAAATTCTTTTTCCTCTTCATCCTTTCCAAATTTTAAGGTGTATCCAAAAACTAGCAACTTCAGGTTTTGTGAAGATATAGCAAAAATAAATTGTTTTACTGAAAATAATTAAAATACACCCATTTCAAGTAGTTTCTGTAGTAGTTCTTTGTTTCATATGTGTTTGAATTTCCTCTGATTTCTAAGCATCTTTAAATATGTTACAACATCATTTCAGCTGCAGGACAAGGACATGAAATAAACAAACTGAAAAATAAAATGTAACAGCACAGAGAACAGAAGAGTTCCTCTCAAATGAGGAGGCAGAAAAAAATATCAAGCCTTGTAGAATACAATATGCTCCTTTAAAAAGAAATGTTTATATCCTGTACAATTATGTTATTCCTTGATAAAACTGGTGTTTTACCAAGCCTGCAGATTGGCAATATCTGTATCTCTGTAGCAACAGTGAAACTGAGAACTTCTGTTTCTTCTATTTGATCTGCTTCAGCAAGTTTGATAAAAATCATCTTTTTCTGTTTTGTTTTGCATATCTTTTTCACAGGTAATAGTAGAGATGAGCATAAAAGCCTGGGAAAAGACTGAATAGTATCAATGCTACTCTGAAACCCAGATACTAAGACTTGAAGGAATATCGAAGCAAATTCCTTTCAGTAGAC